CATTAATTAATGCGTACTGTAAAATGGTTCAGCTATACTCCAGTAAAGAGGCATACATCACGAAATCACCCAACAAATTGAGAGGAAAACACTTTTCTAGGGCAATGCTAGGCTAATGCCATTGTTCATGTGATAAGCCCTTGGTTGCTAGGCACCCTGTAAACAAATCGCAGCCACATGATACTATTCATGGACTATAGGGAATCAAGGATATGGAATAGAGTTGATTCATCTTAAACCCTTTGGACGCCATGGGTATCTCCTTAAATAAGCAGAAATTGATGTATAACATATTGACGCCTAGTATTATAGCCATATATAAATTCTTATGGACTTATGGAGGCTCTGGGCTTATATATATGCCTGTGGCTGGCTAAGGGTTCAGTAATTACTGAAATGGAAGGACTTTGCTCCAGAAAGGTTTGGGGAAGTGGCAGACGTTTAAAGAGAGACAGAAATTGGCATAATATTTTAGCTAAGACAGGGATATGGATTATGTAGAGCACCCACAATACACTAACAAGGAATCAGGACAGAAAAGAAGGTGTCTTACGGAAGAGAATGGTCTGGCTCCTGACACGACTTGTTTTGGAGTGGGTGTGGTCTGGAGAAGAGGGAGAGAAATGGGGGTAAAGATTGCGAAAGAAAACATACAATTATTATACAAACCATGTGCGACGTTTTTCATACATCGAGGTGATAAAAGACATACATGAACTTTTGCACCCTAGCCTAGCGCATAATATCTCAGTTAATTAATGCGAAACTGTAAAATGCACCATTACGCCAGTTAAAGAGGCCTATTACATCACGAATTCACAACAACAAAGTTCTAGGACCATTGCTAAAAGCCCGCGCTTTCTTTGTTGCTAGGCCACCCAGCAAACAAAACAGTAAATCGCAAGGCCACAAGGTAACTTCCATAGGGCCTGTTTCAGTGAAGAGATGAGTTGCTAGGAACAAAGGAGTGTTGGCGGGGGGAAATGGAGTAGGGTGGTATTCCATCTTGAAGGAACCAAAGAAGCGATACAAATTGGTATAAAGATTGGTTGAAAGAAAAACGACAAAACCTTTTGCGGACGTGATCGGTGTCTTTTCAGCTCGGAGAGCCTGAACTTGCTCCTCCAGGGATGCAATCTGGGCCTTTTGAACATCATTTTGTTCTTTCAGTGCTTCATTTTGCTCTTTCGTTGCTTCATTTGCTCCCTCAGGGCATGATTTTCCCCATCTTTTTGGCGGATTTGCTGTTGCTGTTGATCGATTTGGATTCCCTGTTGTTGGATGTTGAGGTTTCTGGACTGCAGCAGTTGAGCCAGTGACAGTTTGTTCACGTCATATTCACCATCTTCAACCTCGGCTCTGGCCTCCTCCAGCAACCCCATCACTTGCTGGATGGTCGGTCTCTCTCTCATCCTGTTCTTCAGGCACCGCTGGATCATTTGGACCAGGGGATGCCCCTCCCGGAATTGCCTCCTTACCTCCCGCATGTAGTTGCCACGACGCTCAAACTCTGTTCGCCCAACTACCCTATCATTGTCATCCATGTAAGTTGGTGCCAAAGGTTTGGGAAACGTTTGGGAGAGTGCGAAAATTGCGAGAACTCCGAGAGAAAAGATATCGATCGTGACGTCGTATCTCGATTCGTCTTCCAGAGCCTCTGGAGGCATGTAGATGGAGGCTCCTGGTGCCTTGGTCATGGTGGAAGCTCGCAGACTCGGCACGATGCGAGCCATGCCCAGGTCGGCTATCTTGGCCACCATCCCCCTCGTTCAGGAGAACGTTTCTGGCCGACAAGTCGCGGTGGATGATGGGCGGGAGAGTGGCTGTGCAGGAACGAGAGCCCGCGAGCCACGTCGTGAAGGACGGAGCGTTTTCAGAGAGACGGGGACGAAGGGCTGGTCGGCGGCGGAGGCTCGGGATCCAGAATGTCGTTGGAGACTGGTCGCCAGCTTCTCAATGACAAGCGGCGGGCATCCGCGAACCGGGCAGGAAACACACGCCAAGGAACTGACGATGTGCGGGGTGGCGGAGGGTGCTCATCAAACTGACACTCACGCGCGAACTCGTCCGCCGCTTTCTCGATGCCTTCGCGCGGCATCTGCCTCGGGTCTTGGAAAAAATCGTGGATCTTCTTGGCGGCGCACACGGCTCCTGGAATTGCCACCTCCTCCACGCTGCCGTACGAGCCAGTCCGATGTTCCTGCCCGTGGCTCGAAGCGGAGGAGAGGAAGAACGGACGGAGGTGGGATGGTCGCGGAGGAAAGACGCGGCAAGGACTGGGCAGCCATTGTGTGCGAAGGAGGGCTCGTTAAACCAGTAACCTTCCGGATATCTGTGCTAGTAGTCGCTTTTAGGCGTGGTTATATACTGTCCGTGTACCATAGTATCTTTGTCTATTAGGGCGCAAGTACATCTCCGTTTACGGCCGTAAATAAACATTCACTCACGCGCATGCGCCGAAAACCCCAAAAATTTGACGGGTGAAACAATGATAGTGCAAAACACTAAACAATTCACACAGAAAAACAATAATGGTAGGAAATGATCAGGCATTATGTCGATCAACACAAACACACAGAAACCTTGCAACAACACGAAAAACGCTGAAGAAAATTAATGGTGGGGGATGGATAACATTGGGTAGAAAACCAACAGTGGGAGTTTCAAAAACACAAAACAGCTGCAAACTGTCAGTCATTCTTTGGTGGGTGGGCAATAAATAGAATGGAACAACAGTGTAAAATCTTGTTTTGGTGACCGTTGTTGTTGTTGTTGTTTTTTGGTGTCCAAACTCGATCTTCATGTAAATGTAATGGTTGATCCTCCACTGTCACCCCACCCCCTCCCTCTCCCTCTCTCTCTTCTTCATCGTACTCTGAAGCGGGCGACAGAGGAACACGCTGCAAGTCTCTCTCCCACAACTTGTGTGGCTATTCCACACTGCCCAAGTTACTGTGCTGCATCTTCTTGTGATAAATGAAGGCTTTCCCAGATTTAAAATCAGGAGATTTCATAAAAATTTCTGTGCCTATGCTGTTTCATGGTGAATGGAAGAGTTACTCTGTGAGATGTGGTCAGACAATGGAAAAAGAAATTGACAGCATTGTAAAAACTGTGCACATCAGTCATCACAGAATGGTAAAGATAGAATAGAAACTTATGGCACAAAACCCACCCTGTTTATACTATAGCTTCTGCAATATTATATCTGCAGACCACCTAGGCCTCTAAGAGCCCCGCCCATCAATTTGCTAGCAAGCTATGCGCGCGCCTACCCATCCTCACCGCTGTTTGCTCATGACGACGTTGTAAGAAGTTGGCCGGTCCTCCAGTATCACCCTGCAGCTCTGCCCGCAGAGACGTACTCCCTGCCTCCTCCATCTTCTTCTCCCTCCCCTGCTCACTCTATGACAATCCCGCCTTGGGCAAAAGTGGGCGAGTTTAATCGCACGCGCACGCTCAACATTTTGCGCATGCGCATTTCGTGTCAACTGTGTCAATGTCCAACAATGACTAGTAAAATCAAGTATACATAATATTATGTCAAAGATCTCTAAATCTTAGCTATCCACATTCTCTTGGAGGTTGCCTCAGTATCTCCAGTCCTCCTCCAGCCACCATCAGGTCACCAGATGGTAGTTCAGTACAGCATGGAACATGCATTCCAACTGGCAATTGTCCACACACCCTCCATTGTCTAGTCTCTTGGTCATAGCGATGGATCTCCTGTACACACCCCCTTCCTCCTACCAATAGCAAGTGTCCCTGGAGGGCTAATAGGGTGGGCCGCTCTACCGGAGGTGTGGGCAGCTCATGCCAAATGCGTTCAGTGGTAGTGTGAGCTGATGTAGCACTGGATGTCAGAGTGGGGAGATGGGCCCAGAATATGTGTTCCTTCTCATCCTCCCACTCCCAAATGAGGACAAGTACCAGCGATCACCTACCACTACTGAAGACATCATGTGACCCCCCACAGGTACTGGCTGTGCACTGTACCATCTACCACTGGAGCTGTCCAACACCTCTACTTCACTCTTATGATAGAACCCACATGCTACTATGAGATAGTTCTGGTAGCCCACAGCAGCTGAAAATGCTCGTCCAGTAGGCATGGGAGGGTAAGGATGGACCCACTTACTACGACCACTGTCCCACACTGTGATTCTAGTATCATCAGGAAGACCACCAGCTAGTACCAGCTGACCATTGAGTGAGGTCATAGCAAAGCCCTTCACTGGAGATCTGGGGAGCTCACTCCAGTCACCACTCTCTGGATTGTACTGAATGACAACATTGGTTGATGTATCAGTACCTCCACAGTACACCATTCCATTGATGACAACTGCAGAGGCACACCATAACCTATCAGTGGGTATATCCTTCCCCTTCCTCCAGTTCAGTGAGAGTGGCCATTGTAATGACTGGACCTGTACAGTACATACACAATGTACAGCATAATAACCTTTCATAATATTCTACATGTTCCTTGATTTATACCACACAGCAGGATAGGAATATTTCGTGTAATTAACCCCAGAAAATATTATGTTCGTCACTAATTCACATTGCGCACGTTTGTGTGGTTTTATTATTTTTATACAACGATTTGGCCCAAAACAAGGTTTCTGATTTACCATATACACCTCGAATTTTACAGAAACTACATGAAAACAAGCCAATTTACAAGAAAAACAAGCTAAAATGAAAAGCACTAAAGTGCAAACCCTCGGCTAACTGCGGATGTGCGGTACCGCTAATTGATGGGCTGGGCTTTATCCCTCTAGTAGCTCGCGGAGAGTCTATATTTCATACATCGAGGTGATATAGGTATGTACCCTATGAATAAATTTCCACTATAGGCAAAAATGAATGAGCGTAGTATTAATGACTTTACCACATACACATAATATGCAATAGCTACCATGTGTTACGGTGGGACTCGTGTTACTGGCTCAGTCGATGACGCACGGCCCAGCATACAGCGACGCTACACTCGCGCGTTTAGCGCCGAGGGTTTGCACTTTAGTGCTAAATTCCTAGGGGAGGGTAGTGTTAGGGCACTTATGGTATTAAGTAACCCCAAGTAAAGGAATGTCAAAAACTTGGTAAGCGTGCAGTGCAAGCCCTAGTCTATGATAAGCTACCCTCAGTGTGCTGACACCCCCAATACACTTACTGTCTCATTTTTAAAATGGTAAGGTGATTTTAAAAATTCAGTCGGCCGCCCTAGGCCTTGAACACACACAACAGGAGCACACCAATGAAGGGAGGGGGGTGTGCCCCACTGGGTGGTGTTACAGGGCCATCATCAGGCTTAGGCCTCCAAAAAATGCAGGTCCCCCCTAAACCTATTAATTTGGCCAGCAAGAGATGCCAGCTTAGCCAGGGATGCTAGTCCTCCCTTATATACCTGAAGTGCTGTAAAAC